GTTAGAGCAAGCAGAGAGAGATAGCCATGAAACACATCTGATTCCAAAATTTTAAAAAAAGCTAAATTGACTCAGGAAATGATGTAACATCATGTATGAAAAACCATAAACACTGCTTCAGATGACTACTAGAAGTAAAAGTCAGCTTAGTGAACCTGAGGGATGCAAAATTAGTATATATTGCAGTAGCTTTCCAGATAGTGATTTATTTTTAAAATAAATTAAGGAAAAAAACATGAAACAAATAAGATGAAAATCTCCATGACTTTGGCCTGCATGATGTCTTGGGATATGACGCCCAAATCACAGATATCAAAAACAAGAAGAGATCAGTGGGGTCACATCAAACTAAAGGCTCATGTATAGAAAATGAAACAATGAGTGGAGTGGGAAGAAAATTTATGAATGGAAAAATATTTGATCATATATTTGCAAAGTAGTAAGAAACTCACAAAATTCTAGTATATACTGCAGTAGCTTTCCAGATAGTGATTTATTTATAAACTATTTATTTATAAACTAGTATCCCAGTTAAAATGGGTGAAGAATCTAATGCAAGAGGATCATAATTTTGATTCCTGCCTAGACAATATGGCAAGATTAAAAATAGGATGAAATTGGATTTTTTATTGCTAAAACATGATTAGGAACTAGGTTCTTACTGATTTCTAGTACCAGGGATCAAACTCATGACCTCAAGCTTTCCAGACAAGTGCCTTTGCCACTGAACTAAATCTCCAGCCCCTGGGTTAGGCTCTTAAAATCTTCCTGTTAAAGGTAGGTAAAAACTTCTGTACAAATAGAGATTAATAAAACTTCCAATTGCTGCCTAATTTTGTCTGATTTCTATTACTTTTTGAATCCACTATGCAACATGATTCTACTTTCAATTTTTGGCCTTTTCTTATTTAACCCAATTATAAGATGACAATAAATCACCAATATTCAAGAATGCTGTTGTCTTTTTTACCAGATTATTGAAATTGATGGATTTGAAAAACAGAACCTGATATTCTTATGTTGTCTTACATCAGTCAGGATGAGACTTTCAATCTCTGTCTAGGTAAAATCAGTGCCTCTCCTCAGCCTAAAGAAACTATAAGAATATGAATTTTTTGGTTACTTTGTGTCCATTAAAAACAAGATGACAACTCAAGGAATAAAGGCTACAGGATGGAATAAACAAAGATAGGAAGAAGGAGCCTAAGAAAATTATAATTTAAAAACTGAATCTTTAAGAAGACTGCAACTTCAATACACGCCCAAAATTTATCAATATCATCCATATCAGTACATCATAGGTTTGTCTATGCTTCTTTTCTTCCAGGCTCATCACATCAAAAATCCATTAAAAATATTATAAGTACATAAATTAGCTTATTTGAAAAGGTAAGAGAGAAACTTGACCGTAAGAGAAACATATTCAAAAGCTTCAAAGAATTTTCCCCTAGGGGGAAGCATGCCTTTATTCTACAAATTAAGTCATCTTTCACTTGTAAAATGAGTTGTTATCTGTGTACCCAACAATGAACTATCAATTTCGCCTCCTTCAGACTATAAAATGACTCCCTTGAAGGCCTGCACTCAATTTTATGTATGTCCTTTAGTGTGCTTAATAAATTCCCTTTAACTTCCATAATGAAAGAATAAGTTAAGAATTTACCTAAACAGATATTGTCTTAGTTAGCTCTCTCATTGCTGAGACAAAACATCTGACAAAATTAAAGGAAAAAAAGTTTATTTTAGCTTACAGATTATGGTAGCTTTAGTCCACAGTGAGCAGTCTTCAAGACAGGGTGGCATGGCTGAGGAACATAGCAGTGGAGAAACAGTCCATAGAAGAACAGGGAGAAGGCAGGAGATCAGCCTAACCAGTAGGCATCAAGAATCAAACCTATCTCTTTTCCCATCAAGGCTACAAACCATTTGGGTCATACCACCCATACTCAGGTGGCATTATCCAAACCAGAACTATGCTGAACCAATCAGTGGACTAATTTATTACCATATATACTTAATCCCAATATAACACAACCTAGATCCAGCCAGCTCCCAAAAGTTTTACCTATGAGCACATGAACATTTGGGAGACATTCAGATCCAAACCATAACAGTCTGCACCTGGCCATCAAAAGACATTTGTGCATTGCCTTATGCAAAAGACATTTAATCTATCTCTAGCAGTCCTAACAGTTTCAGCATTGATCAAAACTGCGAGTCCAAAATGTGTTCTGAGATTTAAGGCAAACTCTTAGCTGCGAGTCCTAGACAAATGAACAAGAAGTTATAAACTCCCAACATACAACGCCCAAGATAAACATTCCCATTTCAGTGAGGGGTTACAAAGGAATGGGACCAAAGCAGGTCCAAAATCTAGCAGGGCAAACACTTAGGTCTTTAGTTCCATGTCAAGCATCTATATCAATCTGTGGCAAGAAACTCCAAAGTGCTTGGGGGGCTCCCCTACTACAGCACTGCAGATAGTAGTATCTCCTAGGGCTTTTCTCTTTGGCTAGATTTGTTCTCTCCTTGGTGCTTTAATCAGATAATTCATGCACCTGGATTCTCCAATCTTCTGGTCTCTCCACTAAACATTCAGCTTCACATTCCCAGGTTCACATACTGCTTTCTAAGGAGAGCACTGCTTAACCTTCCAGGGCTTCTTCTGAAATCTGGGTGGAAGCCTTCCTGACCCCATGACTCTTTCTTGCTGTATGCACTAAAACCAGCACCACATGGATGATATAAAAGCCCCCTTTTCCATATGGATCAAGCACTTGGATCATTGAGCACTCTGAGCACAGTCCCAATGGGGAGACTCTAGGCCACGCCATTCTAAAGCATGGTGCTTTGGTGTTGTCTTCTCAAAGAGAAGTTATTTCACTTTTACAATTTTGAGGCTGTAAAGGTTGGAGTCCTTCTGAGACTTGCAATAGCCTCAGGCCATCTTTTCTATTGCACTCCAAGATTTTTGACTGTTTATTATATTTTTATCTTTTCAACAAACAATTTTTCTTCTGCTCCATCTTTGTAGGCAACACCTTTACTGGAAGTTTCTTTTCTGCCAATCTCAAAACTTTTAAAACCCATTCTTATGGGTCCTTTCTTCTACATTCTCAGCATAGATCATCAACTAAATGCCAACAGTAGCCATCTGACAGGCTCAAAATTAGGATGCTTTAAATTTTTTGTCACATTAAGTAGACCACAACACTTAAACTTAGTCCTGTACAAAGTCTCTGGAGATAAGCAAAATATGTACAAATTTTCTGCTATAGAATAACACACATGTTCTAGTGTGTAACCATCAAAGCATTCCTTGTTTTTAAATAAAACCTCCCAAAGCTGGTCTTTTCCAGCTGCAGTGCAGTAAACATTCTAGTTTTCTGAACTCTGACAAGAACTTCATTAGGCTAAATTCACTGCATGCCAGGGTTTCTTCTCCAGTCAGCATTTCCAAGCCTTTCCATCCTCTCTCAATAAGGCAGTTCCAAAGATTCTTGAGCCACACAGTGAGGAATAGTCACAGCAATGACCCAGCTCTCAGTACCAAAATCTGTTTTATTTACTTTTCTTATTGTTGAGCCAAGATACACAACACCCACAAATTAAAGAGTTAAAGAACAAAAGATTTATTTCAGATCACAATTTGTAGAGATTTCAACCAGTAGTTGACAGGTTCTATGGCAGGTTGGAATAGTAGAATTGCATCACAGAGAAAAAGCAGTCCATTCCAGAGCAGGCAGAAGGCAAAGAAGCAGCAAAACAAGCAGTCACCAATCAGAGAGGCTGCCTTTAACTTCTGTGTCATGAGGGCTACAAGCCATTTCAGTGGTGCCACCCACACCCAGAGCGGACCCTCTGATTCTCCATCCCCAAAACTATGCTAAACCAATCAGTGGACTAATTTATTATCACATACACTAAATTCCAGTTTCACACACCTTAGATCCACCCAGATCTCAAAAGTCCCACCTGAGAGCACACAAAGATTTACAAGGGAGAACATCTAAATTCAGTCTGTAACTCCATACAATATTCTTCCATGACACTTTAAAATTAATCCTACTGTAAAGAAAATAGAGAAAGAAAGACATGAAAAAAATGAAATATCATTTTGAAACAAGAAATGCCCTTTGTTTGCCAAAGGAGTTAATATAAAACAACTGCAATACGATGTATGTTAGCCTACAACCTGACCATCTGACAAGCCATGTATGATTTTGTTCCTATTGTACTTTTATAAAAACATATCTTTTATAATATGCTTTTTCTACAAAATTCTTTCTGTTCTCTAAATAACTTAGTAGATGACCTTAAGCTTGCTGTTATACATATGTCAAGTGACCTCATCATTCTTTTTTTGCCTTTGGCGTTTTCATCATTCTGAAATCAGTTCAAATTCCACCTCCTAAAGCACTCTAACCCTCATCCCAATTCCATGTTGCAGAATGTGTTTGGCCCATTGGTGTGTGATATGTTTTAAGCACTTACTGCTTTCTGGGTTATCTCAATCTAGTTTTGTGTGGTTAGAATTTTGTTCACAAGATATGCACTCCATATGGGTAAGAAAGGTTTCTCCCACTCTACTTTTCTAATCATGCATTGAAAAAATGCCTCGAAAATAGCACTTAGTAAATATCTGGTGAAAAATTATATAATAGAATAAAGTCATGAAGCAATTAGTGAACTTAGGATCTATGTCTTGTCTACCCAACATTTGTTCTACTTTGATGTTTACCAAAGTTACTTTTGAAACTTAAATTAGGCATCACAAGAATTTATTGGAAGACAAATGAGTTACTGGTACTTCAAATGCTGGATACCAAGTAAAGGGACTTAAACTAGGGAACAGGGTGAGGGAGTTATAATTACATCTTTCAGCCATTGTTTTCCACAAAGAAACATACCAAAATAATTCTGTCCTCACACATGAGAATTGTGATGGTTTTCCATTCTATTCAAGGGCTGAGTGTCTCACTGGCTTTCTTTTCCTGCAGTAAGAAGTGGTATTGCTTCTGCTGAAGGCCACTGTCTCAGTCTCTCAGGCATCTGCAGAAGAACCAATTGCAAACTAATCGAAGATGAAATTGGAGGCTGCCGAAGACGTTGGAAATGCTGTCGACCATGGTGGATTCTACTTCCTGTTCCAACACCTGTTATCTTTTCAGAATATGAAGAAGGACTTAAGCCCCGGCTGAAATGAAATCATGAAAAGCACCAAAAGAAAAGCTCTTGGTTCTCAGTCTCTAAATTCTCAGTTCTCAGTCTAAGTCTCTCAGTCTCTAAGTCTCTAAGAATAAACATTCAGGTTAAATGTTTCCAGTGCTTTCACCACCTTTCATTGGCCAATGTCAGTAACAATAAATAAACAAATAAATAAAGTAGATTTCAAATATACTCAGAAGTTATTACTTTATAAATTTTACAGACTGACAGAATCTTTAAGAAACAGTTTTTACCTGTCATCACAGAAAGACCAAAAGGCAAACAACAAAGTTACAAGAATGAATAATTATATAAAACTTAATTAAATATACACAGAGAGAACAGGGAAGTAACTAACATGTAGAGGAGTTTTAGGATATGTCAGCATAGAGGGATAGGTATAGGGAGAAAGAAGGAAAGACAGGATAAAGCCAACACAAAAATGCTGGAGCAATACATAAAGATTTTTAACTCAGAGTTATTCAGCAGGAGGTGAAAATGAAAGAGAGTGAGAGAGAGTGAGAGAGCAAGAAAGAGATAGAGAGAAAGAAGTTGAAGAAGAAAGTGTTCTCTGTGATCAAAATACATGGGTGTTAACTATTGTAAAACTTCAAACCCAGCCAATACATCTTCAGGTTTTCTTCATATGAGCAACATCATAATCATTTAGAGATAATCTTTATTTTACTAGGATATCTAAAGCATTTCCCTTCAATGAAATGAAGCATTTTAGAATAAAACCATAGCCACCTCTTTGAAGTAAAATCTGTCAGTATTAGTTCTGATATTCCTTTAATTTTGACCACAAATGCATTTTACTCTCTTTATCATGAAGTCTTATTTGCCTTCATTGAAGGTGATGAGATGGAGATTGTGTATCAGGACTCAAACTTATTATTGGGATAAATCTTCAATTATATCATTTTAAGACCTCTGAGGACTATAAATATATGATTGGACCCTAAGGACTCACTTTCTCTCCACCTAGAGTGCAATATTTATGAAGTGCTTAGTTTATTATTAAATTATCAGAGTGTGGCTATTTTCCACATTGATATGGGACAACCTTGACTAAAGTTGGAGAAAAATGCTTAAAAACAGTGGCGGTATGCCACAGATCAGGGCAAGTGTGCACAAAGGGAATGAGCTCAGTTATTTCCTCTCATTCCTTTGCCCTTCCTTCCACTCCCCTTAGCAGAGCTCCTGGCCAAGCCCAACCTCAGATGCTCCTGTTTCACTAGGACACCTATTTCTGTCAGGTGCAGATAATAAACTGAGTTCTTTCCGGCTTCTCATTGCTTATCCATATTTGAGCTCTACGAAGTCGGGGACACAAGTAAACTAACTTCCCGTGAATGCTCCTCAGCCTGGGGTTAGAGAACAGAGGCTCACTCTGGCTGACCTTGTTGTAACCTAGTTCTAATCAATGCGCCCCTTGCTGTTCTGTATGCATCATTTCAATAGAGATTACAGTTCCATCTCTAGTAAAGATTTAAGTTTCAGTTTCTTGTAATCCACCCCACCCCCTTCAGCCTATCTGCAATACAATGTGCTGTCCTTAAGAAACATTTAACTACAAAGAAGTTATCAAACTGGGTCAAAGTTCACAACATTCCTGTGGTTTTCGGCTTTAAAACCCAACCTTTTTAGCTGTAAGGCACACAGTCTCCAAATTGGATCCTGGAGATTGCTTCGCCAGGCCTGGCCTAAAATAAAGCCTTTGCTCCCCAAATTTTAATTTCTTGCTTCCTTGGTTTTATTCCGGGATGAGCTATCACAACCTGACTCAAAATGATATGGCTTTCAGTATGCTCACGTGGCCTGGCATGCCATAAACTGCTAAAAGTGATTGTCTTACTGTTGTATTCTGGAACATGGTGTTAATAAAACAAAGCAAAAATACTGCAAAACTGTGTTCATAATGTTTGCAAGAAAAGGCAGATGATGCAAAGAAAACAAAACCATTACAGATACACAGGAAAGAGTCAAGACCTTGGAAGAGTCAACAAGTTTTGGGTACAACACCACTGTTCCCAACCAGATGGAGAGAAAGATCCCTTAGAATTGTTAGGGAGGAGGCCTCCTGGCATCTTTCCACACATGGTGGGACACTGTTGTGTAGTTTCGCTTTTCAATTGCTTGGGTTTCTTGACCAGAATGACCTCCTAACACATGGCTCTCCATAAGAATAACTTTTAATTAGTCTTGTTTTCCAAAATAAAAATCTCTTTCATGTGCTATTCTTAACCATTAGCCAAAGTATCCAGCTGATGTTTGATGCATACTAGACCCTAGCAGCTTTTCTAAATCCTGGTTATTGGAAAGGACACTCTTGGCTCATTAATTCAAAATGTTGACTAGCTGTCATGAGAAACATGTGTGTATGTTTGTGTGTGAATGTGCGTGCATTCCTAACATTTTAATTCAGAATTGATAAAACTGTAACAATTAAGGAAAATGTCTTCACGCAATAAATTTTATCATCCAAAATTAGGTGTAATCTTTCTCTTCTGCAGTGCCACAAAAATGAAAGTGACATGACCTCAAATATAGTATCAAATGCGGTTTACATTGATAGCACTGTCAAATTTCAATAGACCATAATTTGGTGAGACTTGTTCTAAACTATTGTCTCATTGATCTATATGTTTAACATTATATCAAAGCTAAACTATCTTGATTATTCCAATTACAATACGTTTTAAAAATGGATAATAAAATTTTAACATTGTTTTTCAAAATGGTGATAAATCTAGTCTTTGTATCTGAAAAAGATTTGGAATCAGATTATCATTTTTTAAAAAAAAAAGAATCTTAGGGGATCCTTGCTTCAGCCCTGGCCAGGGAACTTTGCGGCTTCCTGCTGCACTGGAACAGCTCAGTGGATCTTGAGCCTGCTTGCACCAACTGCCCTGCTCCCTGCTGTGCTTGGCAGACTCTGGGGTCCTGGGCCTGCCTGCACTCTCAGTTCCTGAAGTTGGGTGGCCTGGGGTGAGTGTCCCTGCACCATCTCCTGAGCCAGGGAGTCTGGGATCCTCTCTGCAGCCCCAGCCAGGGAACTTTGCAGCTTCCTGCTGCACTTGGAACAGCTCAGTGGATCTTGAGCCCACCTGCGCCAACTGCCCCTCTTCCAGCCATGCTTGGTGGACTCTGGGGTTTGGGGTCTGTGGGTGTTCTAAATTTTGGAAACTGGGCAGCGTGAGGTGAGTTCCCTGCACAATCCAGAACCGGGGAGTTTGGGATCATTGCTCCCACCAGCCAAGGAACTTCACAGCTTCCTGCCACACTCAACCAGCAACTTAGGGCTTGGGCCTGCCTGCCCCACCCCCAGTGACTCTCTCTCAATCCAGGGAAATGGGTGGCCAGAGACCCAGGAGCTGAGGGGATAGAAGAGGATTTCCAACAGGCCCTATGGAAGCCTTGGAATAACACTTGAAACACAGAAATATAGGAAAATGACAAAACGAAAGATCAAAATACAATCTCAAACCTCCACCCCACCTGAAGAAACCTTGGGAGCTATGTACACAGAAGAAAATATATGCCATACACCTGAAATACCTGACACAATACCAATTGAAATAAGGAAGCAACTTTGGGAAGCTTTAAAGGAATTCAAACTAGAAATAATCTCCCAAGTAAAAGAAGAAATGATAAAAGAAATGAAAGAGATGCTGAACATATCTAAATAAGACACAGTTAAAAAATTGGAGGAACTAAACAAAAAGGCAGAATGCCTGGATGAATAATATAAGAAACAAATATAATATATGAAGCAGATGCAAAGAGATATATAGGAAATCAAAAGTTCCATTGAAAGTTGTAATAACCACCTCAATGAAAGTGAAGATAGAATTTCAGACTTCAAAGACAAGATTGCAGTTAGTGAACAGGAAAAGAAAGATCTTTCAAAAATAAGAAGGAATCAGGAAATAATTCAACAGCTGTGGGATGATTCAAAGAATAATAACATAAGATTGATAGGGATAAATAAAAAGAAGAGACCAACACAAATGATATCAAAAGGTTATTTACAGAAGAAATAGCTGAAAATTTCCCAAACATGAGAATGGAAACCGACATATGGGTCAATGAAGCTTGTAGAACTCCAAATAACCATAACCAAAATAAAACTACACCCAGACATACAAAAATCACCATCCCAGAAATTCAACATAAGAATAGAATATTAAAAGCTGTCAAAGAGAAAAGACAGGTCAAATATAAAGGAAAAACTCTCAGAATCACAGCAGACTTCTCAGCACAAACAATAAAGTTAAGAAGAGCATGGAGTGAAGTATTTCAGATCCTAAAGGAAAATGATTTCCAGCCTAGACTGATGTACCCTGCAAAACTGTCTTTCAAAATCAATGGAAAAATAAGATACTTCCATGACAAAGAACAGCTGAAGAACTTCAGGATCACCAAGCCAACCCTGCAAAGAATATTGAAAAACAGTTTAGATACACTTAGGAAAAAACCACTAAGAAAAGCAAACAATTAAATAGAATGGAAATGTAAAGATGCAACAGCAGAAAGAAAACATGTCAACAATAAACCAATATATAACAGTGATAACCATTAATGTAAATGGTCTCAATTAATCAATTAAAAGAACAGACTGGCAGAATGGATCAAGAAAAAAACATCCAACCATATGCTATCTATAAGAAACCCATCTAACCCAAAAGGATACTCACAGACTGAGAGTCAAAGGATGGAAAACAATACTTCATGCAACATGAACCCCCCAAAAAGTGGGGGTAGCTATTCTGTTTACAGATAATTTGAACTTTAAACCAATAATGATTAGAGGAGATAAAGAAGGTCACTACATACTGGTTAGGGGAAAACATCAAGAGGAAGAGATAATTATCTTTAACATATATGCACCAAATTCTAGAGCATCCAGGTATAAAAAGCAAGTATTAACAGAAATGAAAAACCAAATTAGCTGTAATGCAATTATAACAGGAGACCTTAACACAACATTGACACTAAGGCACAGATCAACCAGACAGAAAATCATCAAAGAAATAACAGAACTGAATCAC